GGGAGGGAAGGAAGGAAGGAGGGAGAGAAGGAAGGAAGGAAGGAAGGAAGGAAGGAAGGAAGGAAGGAAGGAAGGAAGGAAGGAAGGAGGGAGGGAAGGAGGGAGAGAGAGAGAAGGAAGGAGGGAGGGAGAGAGAGAGAAAGAGAGAGAGAGAGAAAAAGAAAGAAAGAAAGAAAGAAAGAAAGAAAGAAAGAAAGAAAAAGAAAGAAAGAAAGAAAGAAAGAAAGAAAGAAAGAAAGAAAGAAAGAAAGAAAGAAAGAAAGAAAGAAAGAAAGAAAGAGACACCAAAAGCACACCAACTCAGGTAACCTTTGAGGATATTTAACATCCACTGCTCGGAAAGAAGTGCGCGTCCCACATGCTGTATGCTCCTTCAGTTGTAGCTACTAAGACTTTGACCTTTCCGGGAGGATACCAAACTAATCATCCAAAAAGAGAGTTCTGTAACAGAAGGAAGGAAAAGGCCAGCTGCGCGCGTCATCAAAGCCCTCCTAATCTCTGTACTGAGGCTTACACTTGGAATAAGATTGGGCAGTCCTTCGGAACTGCACCGCTTCAGAATGCAGGTGGGGGAACAGTGTAATTGATTCCCCTGAAGCAACAAAAGAAAAACCACTGCATGAATAAAAAACTACCAAGACAGGGAGAAGTCTTTCTGCCTTTCGTACTTTCCGGGGGCAGAGAGTCTCTGACATGGGAGACCTGCCATGGAAGACTTCATGACCCCGTACAGCTGGGGTTCCCCCACTTTGTTGGGAACCGGGAGTGGGTCCCACACTAGGGGTCCAATCACAAACTGTTGGGAGGGTCTACAAAAGGTGGGGAGAGTCCAACTCAAGCATCCACATATGATGATGGAGGCTGCGATTTCTGAATGGGTGTTCCCTGCAGATACATAAGAACATAAGAAGAGCCCTGCTGGATCAGACCAATGGTCCATCTAGTCCAGCATCCTGTCTCACAAAGTGGCCAACCAGTTCCTCTGGAGGACCAACAACAGGGCGTAGAGGCCTTCCCCTGGTAAGAACATAAGAAGAGCTCTGATGGATCAGACCAATGGTCCATCTAGTCCAGCCTCCTGTCTCACACAGGGGCCAACTGGTTCCTCTGGAGGACATGGAGGCCGACGCCTTCCCCTGATGTTGCCTCCTGGCTCTGGGATTCAGAGGCTTAGTGCCTCTGAGCATGGAGGTTCCCTTTTAGTCACCATGGCTAGTAGCCACTGACAGACCTCTCCTCCGTGAATCTATCTTGGGCTCTTCTGAAGTGTCTCCTACTTCAACAGGGTCGAAGTTTTCAAAGGAGTGTTAGAGCAGTGGTACTCATGCCGTGGCTCACAGAGAGCCACACTGGCAATGACCATCCAACAGAAGAGCCATTCGATTACGGGATGCCCTTTGCCCCACCTCACCAAATACACACATACAATAAGATGTAAGTATTCATATTAAATTAACTATCTCCCTTTAAATTCCCAGAGTACCTTCTGAGCATGTAGGGTGGTCTCTCCCTCCCACTTAGGGTTGCCAGGTCCCTCCTGGCCACTGGCAGGGGACAGGAGACGCCTGGGGACTTGGGGGTG